GGTGGGGGGGATTTAGGGGTATCGGGAGGGTACAGGGGGCTGAAGCCACCCTGAACGCCCCCACCCCCAGGCTGCCGGTGCCGGCCCGGGCTGGTGCTGCAGGGGAGCGGCTGCATCGAGCCCAGGTACCCCAAAACCCCACTGGACCCCAACCCGGACCCTTCTGTACCCCAAATCCCAGCCGTACCTGGAACTGCCACACCCCAAAGCCATCTGTGCCCCGAGCCCCGGTGCTGGGCGTCCCCAGGAAATGGGACCCTGAGCACTGGGGGGCTCCTGGGGGGCACTGGGGGGCTCCTGGGGGCTCCCCAGCATTTGGAGCAACGCTCCTTTTCCCTCCAGCGCCTGCAGGGTCCCTGCGGGGGTGATGGGGGTCCCCGGCAACCGGGGCCCCCCTGAATCCTGCGGGTGGTCGCGCTGGACCCCCTGGACCCGCTGTGACTGCGGCACCGGGACCCGGCAGCGCTTCAGGTGAGGGGCGACCCCATAGCGGGGGTGTGACCCTTAACGGGGGGTCCTGACCCATAACGGTGGTCCTGTCCCATAGTGGGGGGTCCTGTCCCATAGCGGGGGGTCGTGCCCCACTCCCCACTCCCCACAGGTCTCCCACCAACCCCTCGGCCGCGGCGGGCGGTGCCCCCTGCACCGGGACCCCCCGGGAGGTTCGGGGCTGTCCCGAGCTCTGCAGACCCGGTACGTGCCAGGATCCCCCCGACCCCCGGGCCCCGGAGCTGGGACCCCCGAGTGCCACCGCGGGGGTCCCTCGATCGCCTCGTGTCCTTCTGTCCCAGAGCCCGAGAGCGCGGGGCCACCTGGGGCCACCGAGGCGCCCTGGCCCCCGGGGTCCCCACGGCCACCGGGGGGCACAGAGAGCCCAGAGTCCCCGGGGTCGCCGTGGGCGCTGGAGCCCGCGTGGGGCACGGAGCTGCCTTGGGAGCCGGGGTCCCTGGAGCCGGCGTGGGGCACGGAGACCCCGGAGACCCCCGAGCCCCCGGATACCCCCGAGCCTCCCGAGTCCCCCGAGTCCCCGGAGTCCCCGGACGCCGCGCTCGGCCGGTGGTGGCCGTGGAGCACGGGGTCCCCGGGGGTGCCGGTGTCGCCGCGGAGCACAGAGCCCGCCCTGGCCCCCGCGCCGCCGCTCCCCGCCCGTGGCCGGTGGTCGCCGTGGGGGCCCTGGGGCGGCTGCAGCGCTCCGTGCGGGGGGGGCGAGCGCTGGCGCCGCCGGGGCTGCGGGACCCCCCCGTGCCCGGGGCCGGCGCTGCAGAGCCAGAGCTGCCACAGCCACGTGTGCCGCGGTGAGTGCCACACGGGCAGCGCGACACGGGCAGCGCGACAGGGACACCGACAGGGACCCCGACACAGGGACCCCGACACGGGCAGCGCGACAGGGACACCGACAGGGACCCCGACAGGGACCCCGACACGGGCAGCGCGACAGGGACCCCGACAGGGACCCCGACAGGGACCCCGACAGGGACCCCGACAGGGACCCCGACACGGGCACCCCGACACCGGGACCCTCACCCAGAGACCCCAGTACAGAGAGCCCGAGACAGGGACCCGGACCCAGAGACTGTCACCCAGAAATGTCACCCAGAGCCCCCGAGCACAGCCCTGCCCTGTCCCACAGCCCTGCCCCACTGTGCCCCCCACCTCCGGCCCACAGCCCCCCCCAGCCCGCCAGACTGTCACCCAGAAATGTCACCCAGAGCCCCCGAGCACAGCCCTGCCCTGTCCCCCAGCCCTGCCCCACTGTGCCCCAGAGCTCTGCCCCACAGACCCCACAGACCCCCCAGCCCTGCCCCACAGCCCCCCCGTGCCCCACAGCTCCACCCCTCATCCCCTCTCCACACGCCCCATGGGGCCGGGGGTGTTGGGGGGCACAGGCCGGGTGCCCCCGGGGTGCTCAGGGGTGTTTTTTGGGGGCGGAGGCCGGCTGCCCCCCAGGCACTGAGCGTTTTTTCGGGGGCTGCAGAGGCGGGGTGCCCCCCGGGCCGGACCTTCCGTGAGTGCGGGGGGGGCTCCGGGTGTCCCCGGAGCTGCGCCCACCTTGGGGGGGCCGTGGGGTGCGCGGGGGGGTGCCAGGAGGGCTGTCACTGCCCCCCCGGGACCTTCCTGCACCGCCGCACCTGCCTGCAGGTGAGATCCCCCGGGCGAGCCCCCAAGGGCGCTGCCCCCAAATCCTGGGGTGGGAATGAGGGGGGGAGGATTTGGGGTTTAGGGGGGGGTCCACAACTCCACGGGTGCCCCTCAGAGTGGTCGGGGGTCCCGGGGTGGGGGATTCTGTTTGTGGG